TTCAAGAGCACCAGCAGCATTAGCAGGGCCACGGAAATCAGTGCACCCGCGGCGCTTGGAAAGGCGACCGCTGTACGGCGACGGCGGGTCGTGCCCAGGACTTCCCTCGCCATCTTGGCCACCGTCAGCGGCTGTCTCCTACTCATGGCTCTCGGGGTCTTGGCAACAGCTGACCAACCGAGCTCCTAGCTACTAGCCGCTGGGGCCGCCGTGCAGATGGAGAGCCGCGGGGCTGGCAAGATGAAGAGAGCGACCTGCGGAGGATGCCACACGGCGGGTCACACCGACAGAAAAGGGTTGGAGCCGACTCCGAGCCGTCTAAGGAACGAACGATAACTGCGGCAGCCAAGATGCTTGAGAGAGAAATGACGAGCTGGCCATTGCCGTACTAGTAACGCTATCTTTGTGGGAAGCCTTTGCCAAGCAAGCCCACAAATGGAACCCTCCAGGTACTCTTATCTACTCCGTGCCTCAGCATATATATATGTGTGTGGAGACTATTATTTGCGTAAAATGTATGTGTAATGTTCCTTTTGCCAAGTTTCCGTTTGGATTAATAATGAACAACTTGACGGGTGGCCGATGGCTGTGTACTTGCCCTGTTCGATATCTAAGTGGGTGGTAGGATTGTTTTAGGGTCAGCTTGTTCATTTTTTCTTGGCGTGCCTGCTCGAGATAACCCACAATGAGAGTCCCCCGTGCCCTCCCAAAGCCGCCGAGAGCCCTGGCGGCATTATTCCGCGCAGTGAAGGTCTTGGTGTTGGATGGCTAGCAGCAGGGTGCCCGTGGTGGGTAGCTCCGTCCTCTCTGTGACCTTACCTGTGTATGTGTGTATACTCCTTAGGGCCCCTTTCCTGGGCTGAGCTTATTAGGATCCTCCCTCCTTAGAAGTGGGGAGTCAAGGGGAGTGCCTCCCTGGGTGCTTTGTGGTGCCCCCAGCAGGCCGCGGTACGGTCTTCATCCTGGCTTGGGGCCTCGGACAGAACTGTGCGCACATACGCCAGTGTTTGGGAGCGGTCAGAACTGGTTGGGTCCGCTGCAACCTCTTTCAACATTCACATCTGAGCAACTTTTGATGACTTAGACCATTTGTTTCAGGCCTATCTAACATACCATGGCACGGTCTATAGCTGCTGTAGATCATTCTATACCATAGATCTAGGTACGATCTACTTTTTGGTCCCATATATTATACGATGACCCTGTATATGTATAGGCGATAACAGGTTTTACCAGTTGCTTGATGTCTATTAGAGCCAAGTCTTGAGGATCAATGAAGCAAGGCATCTATGAGATATAAATTTGGCGACTCGGCGCTCCTGCCTCCAAAATGTGCGTTATGCGGATGTCAGAATCGTGAAGAGTAGAGCCACCAGGGCAACAACCAAGACGCACACACAACACTACTCTATGCTCACGGGAGCGGTCACCGATGGACGATTAGCTATCACCAATTTTTTTAATTCTCTTTATTGGAGTACTTTTCAGGCTCAGGCCTATTTCAATAATAATGAGGGGTCCTCAGCCTTCCCTTTCCTCGCGGTTTGACTGAAATGTAAGTTGTCCTAATTTGTACATTAGTCTCTAGTGCAGAGCACGGCCAGCTGGCCCGATGGCTCTACTCTTCGGGAGTCTGGAGCCCACTGTAACAACCACACACACACTACTTCGAAATGTAATAAACAATCCCACGCATACGTTTAAAAAATTGTTTTCATGAGTAGTTGCCTTACCGCTTATAGACGTGAGTAGAGCTTGGGTACCTGCGAGCAGAAGAGTGCACTTGCTTCCGTGGGAGGAGGCGAGCCTGGTTACCGACTGCGTTATCTGCCTCGGGGCGGTGTAATTGGCAGACGACGCAGTGGAAACCTGTCAGTACTGACTAAATTAACTCGCGAAATTGCTCTTTCCGTCGCGCTCTCCGCGACTTGCCCTACTTTCTCACCAGTACGGCCCCGCCGTACCACCAACGAACTGCCGAGTACGCTCTCGGCAAATACACAGAAAACCTTGGTTTTCTTTCGTTACTCTCAGAAAACCTACAGTTTTCATGAGTAGTTGCCTTACCGCTTATAGACGTGAGTAGAGCTTGGGTACCTGCGAGCAGAAGAGTGCACTTGCTTCCGTGGGAGGAGGCGAGCCTGGTTACCGAAAACTTCAATAATCGCCGGTTGGGGTGCGAAGGGACCTGAGAGGAAAAGGGGTGGCATAGCCTTGCTCCGTGCGTTACACGCTGCCGAAAAGGCTCAGACCCGGCGCAGCACCCTGTCAGTACCCCAGGGCCTTCGAGACCTTGAGCTTCGTGCCCACGCTATCGGCCAGGTATACCAGCATGGCCTCGCGCGACCGCCAGCCCCCGTGGGCTTGGAACAACCGCTCATCGACACCCTGCTCGGCCGCCGCCGTCGCGCCACCCGAGCGCAAGCTATGCAGGCCAAACAAGGCCTGCGCTTCACCGTGCGTGATCCCCATCACCTTTGCCACGG